ATGCACATGCCCAACAGAAATAATACTTATTTTAGTTTCTGATATTTATCAATATTTAAGCACTTAAGTATAATTTTGCTCAGCAAACTTTTAGTAATTGTTAATGATTAGACCATTTAAAGATTGGAGTGATAGCACAATAGGTAGGGCATTTGCCTTGCACATGGCCAACCTGGCCGACCCAGGTTCTATTCCTCCGCCCCTCTCAGAGAGCCCGGCAAGCTACCAAGAGTACCTCACCCACACAGCAAAGCCTGGCAAGCTACCTGTGATGTATTCGATATGCCAAATGCAGTAACAAGTGTCACAATGAGACGTTACTGGGTCCACTTGTGCGAATTGATGAACAACGGGAGGACAGTGACAGTGAGAGACCATTTAAGACTACTACCAAATCTCTGGATTGGCACATTTTCAACAGATTTTTAATGCTTTTTCATCACTCTTCAGAAAGGCTGCCTGCTAGACACCTCTAGTCATTATCTTTGTGAAGGAAGAATGATAAAAAATATGCTTAATGGTTTGAGTAGTCCTAGTATTAGAACCATTCATATATTCATTCCTAATTTTTTATTGAGCATTAAATGAGACTTTCCCACAAAATTTTTCCAAACTTTCTTCATAGTAAAATGATCAAAAAGAAATGATGACTTTGGTTTGAGTGCCAGAAGTGAAGATTACTTTTGGAGAGTCCAAGATTTTTCAGAGTGCATGCTGTAGTCTTGGTTTAGGAAAAAGCCATCCTGGTGTAATACTTGTTTATCAACTTTAACAAATATATCTTAGATACCTATAACCAAACTATATGTAAGGTTTGAAATTTTACTATAAATAGGGACATTGAAATCTCCAGACCTACTAGATCACAACATAAAATAAGAGCTTTGACATCAAAAATAAGTATCCTACTCTTGGAGTGATAGCATAGCGGATAGGACGTTCACTTGGCAGACCCTGCCGACCGGAGTTCGATTCCTCCACCCTCGATTCCTCCACCACTCTCAGAGAGCCCAGCAAGCTACAGAGAATATCTTGCCCACATGGCCCAGCAAGCTACCCTTGATTTATTTGATATGACAAACACAGTAACAATAAGTCTCACAATGTTACTGGACCTGCTTGAGCAAATCAATGAACAACGATGAGTACAGTGACAGCGATGGTGACTCTTGGATCATTGTGCTATTCTAACTTCAATTTTATCCTGCATGTTAGTTTCCACTTGATTATAGAACTATTTACCTCTGTACTACAAATATGCAATTTGTAAATAGTACTAATATAACTTCTTTCTCCTTTTACTAAATAACCAACTTTAATTCCCAAATTCTAACCATCTGTCCTTAAATTCCTTTAGGTTCTCAATGTATTTTATTCACTATGACCAATATTTCATATCGGAAATTACCACTGTAATGTTATCTTTTATTTCTTCACCCTGGACGTGTTTTATGTGTGTTTTCAGGCTATAAGATTATAAATTAAATTATATTTAAATCCTAATGATCTATAATCCTTTTAAAGGAAAACAGCATAATTGGAAAATAGCATGATTCTCCAACTGGATGTTCTGTTGACACTAATATAAACATTGTAGCTGTTTGAACAATTTCTTTATGCGTTTTCTCCTTTAAGGCCAGCAAAGGTCACAAATGGAAGAGGTCAAGCTTAACTATAATATTTTTCTAGAGCCACAACCACTTTGGTCTGAAGAGTTTTGAGATTATTACCCAGGATTTGTGAAAGATGTCTGGAGGAGATAAAGAGAAGTATGTAACCATTATAATGACAGACTGAAAAAACAAAAGGGCACCTTTGTCTTCCACTGAATTTCAAAGAAGATGGGAACTATCATGTTGGTGCACTTGCTTAAAATATAAGCTCTATCCCTTTGTGTAGATTTTTCATTGATGCCATGAAATATCCAGAGTAGCAATTATTCTTAAAAGCTCTTTGACATGTATTTAATTATAGGAAGATGAAAGCATAAGCAAAAATTCTATAAGACAAAGAATTTAGGTACATACGATTTAAAATAGCAAAGTTATTCTAGTAATATTTCTACTGAATTAAAGTAAAAGAATCTAATAAGAAACTCCTGTATGTAACAAACCAGAGGACACATATACTAAACAAACAAGGATGAAGTTTTGATACATTTTATCTAATCCCAAGTTTTAAATAAAAATATTTGATCAGTTTGCATATTTAGCACTGTTTATCAAATTAATTTTAAAAGAAGAATTATTTTACCTTTAGTGTGGTTGTAAATACATATTTTTTTTCATTTTTGTTAGTGAAACACCATGAGGTACAGTTGTGGACTTACAAGTTTTTGTGCTTGGGTTTCAGTTATACAATGATTGAGTACCCATCCCTCCACAAGTGCCCATTCTACATCACCAATGATCCCAGTATCCATAGCATCCCCTGTCCCCCCAACCCATCCGGTCTCTGTAGCAGGGCATTCCCTTTTGTTCTCTCTCTACCTTTGGGTGCTGAGGTTTGCAAAAGAGGCACTGAGTGGCAATCATGTTCGGTCTATAGTCTACTTTCAGCATGCATTTCCCATCCTGAGAGGATCCTCCCAACACCTTTTACTTGGTGCTCCCTTCTCTATCTGAGCTGCCTTTTCTCCTAGCATGTGTGGCTAGCCTCCACGCCATGAAGTGAAACTCCTGGTACTTATCTCGACTATTCTTGGATGTTAGTCTCCTATTTTAATACTTTATATTCCCCAGATGAATGCAATCTTTCTATGTCTGTCCCTCTCTTTCTAACTCATTTTACTTAGCATGTAGTACCACTTGTATGCAAATTTCATGACTTCACCTTTTCTTACAGCTGCATATTACTCCACTGTGTAGATGTACCAAAGTTTCTTTAACAAGTCTTAGGCACTCAGGTTTTTTCCAAATTTCAGCTATTGTGAACAATGCAGCAATGAACATACAAGTGCAGAAGACATTTTGACTATACTTTTTTCCTCTCTGGGTTATATTCCCAAGAGTGGTATTGCTGGGTCAAATGGGAGCTCAATTTCTAATTTTTTGAGCATCGTCCATACTGTTTTCCAAAAGGCTGAATCAATCGACATTCCCACAAAGTGAAGGAGGGTCCCTTTCTCGCCACATCTGCACCAACACTAGTTGCTTTTGTTCTTTTGGCTGTGGGCCAGTCTCTGTGGTGTGAGCTGATATCTCATTGTTGTGTTGATCTGCATCTCCTTGATGATTAGTTATGTAGAGCATTTTATCATGTGCCTTTTAGCCATTTGTATTTCTTCTTTGAGAAAGTTTTTGTTCATTTCATCACACCATTTTTGATGGGGTTGGATGTTTTCTTCTTGTAGAGTTCAACCATTGCTTTGTATATCCTTTATATCAACCCCTTATCAGATGAGTATTGGGTGAATAGCCATTCCAATTTTGTAGATTGTATTTGCATTCTTGTCACTGTATCTTTTGAGGTGCAGAAGCTTCTTAATTTAAGATAGTCTCATTTATTTATTCTGTTTCTACTCGGTTGGACAGTGGAGTGTCAGCTTTAAAGATACTGTTAGCCTCAATATCAGGAGGCTTTTACAAAGAAACTGCTAGAAACAATAGACTTGTAAAGTCGCAGGCTATAAAATTAATGCCCAAAAATCCATGGCCTTCCTATATGCAAATAATGAGACAGAGGAAAGTGACATGAAAAAAAAAAATTCCTTTCACAATTGTGCCCAGAATATCAAATACCTCTGGATAAGCCTAACTAAAGAGGTAAAGGACCTCTACAATGGAAATTACAAAATGCTACTCCATGAAACAAAAGTGGACACGAGGAAATGAAAACATATCCCCTTCTCATTGGTAGGAAGAATTTACATGGTCAAAATGGCAATACTCCCCAAAGCATTATACAGATTCAATGTGATCTCTATAAGGATACCCACGAAATTCTTCAAAGAAATAGATCAAGCACTCCTGAAATTCATATGGAACATCAAATTCCCACGAATAGCTAAACAACTATTGGGAAACAGACGTAGGGAGGCATTACCCTCCCCAACCTCAAAATCTACTACAAAGCAGCAATAATTAAAACAGCATGGTACTGGAACAAAGGCTGAGCCACAGACCTATGGAACAAGGTGGAATCTCCATAAACACAACCCCAAAAATATAAACATCTAATCTTTGATAAGAGAGAGAGAGAAATGTGAAGTGGAGCAAGGAAAGTCTCTTCAACAAATAGTGCTGGCATAACTGGACAAGCACATGCAAAAAAATGGGCTTAGACCTTGACACAACACCATGCACAAAAATCAGATCAAAATCGATTAAAGATCTCCACCACATCAAATCCAAATCCAAATCCATATGGTACATCAATGTTGAACAATGAGTGGGTCAGGAAAAAAGTCAAGGATGAAACCAAAAACATACGGTAAACCTTTATTAAATCAAATATTAAATAAAAAATATAGCCAAAAGGAGAAACAGAAAGGAGTAGAAAGCTATAGCAATGCACTTTAAGAGTTAAAAGGATTTAGATTCATAAGGTTCTGGTCAAGGCATCTGAACTTGACCCTAAGGGCAATGAACAACTAAGAGTTATATATGGAACTGGGAAAGGATTCACTTCCTCTTTTCGGAAGGCAACCAAAAGCAACACAGTTGATGAGTGAAAGGGGAGAGACTAAAGAACCATTAGAGAATGATGATAGGATTAAATTGAAGCACTCCTGATAGTGAAAAAAAAAAAGGATTGCTACATTTCACGGTTAAAATTCATCTGCTTTGCTGAATTAGTGGTGATGTGGTAAAAAGGGGATGAAGAACAAACGTGTGGTTTGGCTTTCTTTCCTGAGGATGACATTAAAACTGTATTTTCTATTTATTTGACATATCGCACGGGAGAGCCTGGCAAGCTCCCCGTGGCATATTAGATATGCCAAAAATAGTAACAAGAAGTCTCACAATGGAGACGTTACTGGTGTCCGCTCGAGCAAATCAATGAACAACTGGAGGACAATGCTACAATTACAATTCATAAAACTCACTCATACATACTGTATCTGTTCTTTAAAGGATCTTGTAATAAATGAATAGTAATTAAATAACAAGTAAGATTAATGAAGTAATCTTTAAAAGGCACTGAACACTGTAAAATTTCTCTGTTAGATACTACCTATAATTACTTTTCCCAGTTCACTTTCCTCTTTATAAAGTAGAGGCTTACATATGTTCCCATTTTTAAAGATCCTTGTTTATATACTTGCATATTGTCTTTAACTGTCCTTATGTTACTACTAAGTGAACCTTTTCAGCAACTTATTAAACGGGAATGTGTATACAGGCTGGTGTCTCGTCTCTGAAGAAAAAGATTAAGGTAATGTTTCTCAGATTGTGATGAGGATATTCCTTATCTGAGGATTTGTATTAAATACAGATTCTGAGTCAGCGGATCTACTGTGCCTTGAGAATCTACATTCTAATGGTCTCTAGATGATGCCAATTTTACTAGTTCATTGAACACATTTGGAGTAAAAAAGATTTAGACCAATCCAGCAGCACATTTGTACACAACTCTTCCCTACTTCTTCCTCCTTATACACACCATAAAACAGTTTATAATGTACCTGATTTCAATTCTAAAATCATAGTATTTTTCTGACAGGTTTCAAGGTGGGCGACCGTTGCCTCCTACTGTCTGTATGTTTCCTTTAAGTAATAAAACTGCATTCCATTTCTGTCTCTGTTGGCAAACATTGTCCTAAATGTTTCTAAACATGATGATGGTCTTTTTCCAGAAGAGATCTCATAAAGAACCACTTTATTGTTAATTGTTCATTAATAGTTTTTCTGACAACTTGAATGTATGCCTCTTAACTTTGCAAGTTCTTCAAAAAATTAAAGTTACTTCCAAAGCATTTCAAATACTTCTCTGGCAATAACATTGCTTGGAAGCAGAATTTTTAAGCTCTCCTCCCACAGGTCTTTTCTTTTATGATTCCATAGCCTTGTGGGTTTCCTTAATAGCCCGACATTCCACAACCTAATCCATGTGTGTTGAAAGACATCTGAAATCATTGACATGCCTCAGGTCTCAGGATTAAGCAACTATTGGCTTGGTCTTCATATAATTGAACTCAAAGAGGTTATCTATTTAGGCCCACCACAGAAATTCCTTCTTTCTTTTTCTCTTTTTCTTTCCCTTCCTACTTTCTTAGAAAAAAAAATCCACAGAAGGTACAGACAAGTTTCTCAAGGAACACAATTTTTATCTTCCTGGAAGTCCCTTAAGTCAAAACTCAAACTATTTTATCTTTGTGTGTATGATAGAGAATAACCTTGGAAGCAAAGGTCAAATTTCATAACACTGAGCAAGAACACCGGCACTCCGGTGAAGGAAAGTTGCATATCGTCTACTTAGACATTAAAAGCTTTCTGCTTTTATATATGCTGGACCTCTATCAGACATGATGAAAAGCATAGGGTAATCAAGGCTGGAACTAATTTTTGAAAATTATTTAAGCTGGACAGCCATAGAGTCTGTGTTCCCTAACCTCCTGTTCAGTTCAGGAATGTCTAGCACATCCTTGAGATTCATTCAAGGCACCCTGAGTACTTTCTAAGGGGTGAGACCCCAGCTGGACAGCTCCAGCTGTTAAACATGTGCAGCTGGGAGCAGCCTCAAACATGCTACAAAGTTGCTCTGTTGTTTTATACCATCTTCTGTGCTCATATGCCCTTGTTTTCCCAGTTCTATTTCGCTTATTCCTGTTACCAGCTTTCAATTTTTCTCCTGAAGCTTTCCGAAAGCGATCTCATTTAAACTGGGAGCTTCATCCCATCAAAGCACAAGGAAATCTGAATTTTGACTTACGCTATCCACATTTAAGCTTGCGTCTCATCCTTGAACTTTGAAGTTCCATGACACTTCTGTTGGAATTACTATCTTCAAAGAATTTGATGATTCCCCCTGGAATATGCACTTCTTCCCCTTATAATTTTTGATAGATTTATGAAGAATTAAACTAAATGTATTGGGTATTCCTACTGCTGGAAATCCAGTGAGAATAAAATCTATGAACCTTGGCTCTCCACTCACAGAAAGTTTACCCACACCACCAAAACTCTGATGACTATAAACATGAAGGGGACAATCACATCAGCAAACTGGACAAGTCAGTGTATGTAAAAGAAACAGTTTTTAAACTACATAATGTGTGCTTCTTGGAATTCTTATTGCCACTGATTATGAATGGTCCATATTTTATTAATGTTACCATGACACATAGCATTTTTAGGGTACTTTTGTTACAAATTATCCTAATATTCACATTCTTGGCTCTTGCCTTACCAGACACGAAATTTGCTTCAATGGCATCTTTCTATGAAAGTGCTTCTGACTGTTGGCAGCTGTTAAAATTATTCCTAGCCCTTGTGCTGTGCCCTCCAACATGCTTTCTGAGTGTTTGAGCCATTCTAGCTTAAAATTTCAACTATATGCTTCTAAACCTGAAACAGATGTTTTCTTGGCTGTTGTCATCTTGTCATGAGCTCCTCTATTTGCATTTTTTAAAGGCAGGTAATTTGCTACCTTTCTTCGCAAAGAACAGACGGTAGGAGAAAGGACAAAACCAGAAAAAATATAGGTGAATTAATTTTAAAGTAGAAGAATAGAATCATAGGGAGACAAACAGTACCCCACTTGAACATCTACAATCCTAATATCACATGCTATAGTTTGACTACTACCAATTTGTCTGGCATTCTTCCTGAATCATATTTGTGGCCACCCAGATTAACTATGTGAGCTGACCTCTTGATTTAATATCAGCCTGCTCTTTTCTTTTCAGCTCCTGTGTCATTTACTGTCTTAAAAAAATGTATTGCGTGTTACTTATTCAGCTCTCTGTTTTCAAGAACTTAGTTCTCTCTGTGTGTGTTTCTCTTTCTCTCTGCTTTTCTGTTTTTCTCTCTCTCCACTTATTTTTTCTTTTGTTTGAAAACCAAGAACTAGAAAGCATCAAGAAGGAATAACTACTCACTGTGAAGGTAGAAGCCCAAAGAAAAAGAGGTTTGTCTTTTATGGTTTATACTTTGTAAGCTGTGGGTGTGACTCAATTTCCTCACCACCCACATAAAAAAGTTGCCACCCAATCACTGTTTTTTTTTTCTCTCTATCCCAAATCCCTCCCCTTTTATTTTGGCTAGGAGAGACCCTAAGAGAGACTGCCCTTTCTGGACGTTGCAAACTGTGACATATAAAGGCTGTTAGCTGCTTCTGTAGCCAGCAGCACATTCAAACCTTGCAGAGTTTTGCTCTGTGAGAGTTTGTAATAAGGCACATTCCTCTTACAAGAGTTCATGCTACAACCTAGCAAAGAACTTTACATTTTTGGAAGAACAGTAAATTCATTTTGGCAGTGGGCAGAGGTAAGCTATTTAGCTCAACAAGTTTATCTTGCATGCAATGATTTTAAAGTAGCTCACATTTTTGTTAGAAAATTTTTGAAGTGAGATGGGTTATGCCTTTTGGTATGTGTTCTATCACTGGGTACATAAATGCCTGGGAGACCTTATCAGTACATTCTCTATTGTTACCTGTGATACATTTTTCCTCTTCACTCTCAAGAGGAACTTCAATTCTGAGATTTACTTGTGAAAGTACTGATGCAGTAATGCATTCTGTGGTTCAGGCATCTGAAACTAAATGGCTTGTATTCATGTTAGGGTTAGAGGTAATACTGTTTATTCAATTTTTAGATATAGGAGGTTCCTCTTAGGGATCTCATAACAGTCAGTAAAATCTGTAAAAACAGTTAGAGGTTGTCTCCTAGGCTTGAGTTCAACATTTCTTGGGATATTTTTTTTTTTAAGATAAAGTCGAATCAAACATTGCTCCTGGATGATGACCTTATAAATACATCACCTTTGCTCCTCTCACCTTTTTTCCCCTTTTCTTAGACCCTACCTCTACTTTCTGCTTTAAAGCCAAGTACACTTGCTGGCCACTCTTCACCACTCAAAATGATAGCCAATTGTGCCTTTAGTGCGCTCCTGCTCTCCCTCCTCTGTGAGGCAAGTGCCTTCGCCTTACTCAATTCCACTGACTCATCTCCGCCAACCAATAATCTCACTGGGATTGAAGCAGCTCTAACAGCACCACTAGTTTCTGCGGATATCCCCAAAGCAAGGCGGAAGCGCTACATTTCGCAGAATGACATGATCGCGATTCTTGATTATCATAATCAAGTTCGGGGCAAAGTGTTCCCACCGGCTGCAAATATGGAATATATGGTAAGTGGAATTCTTTTTCTCCGAGTTGTGAGTGTTGAAGCTCAAATTGAACTTCTAATCGCATTGAGTACAATGCGATTAGAAGAATTTATGTTCAGGTTACGAGATCTGGGGCTTTTGTGACAAATTTTCGTTGGGGATGGTTCCTTCATAGCTCCTTAGGTACGGTTGCATCCTAGTAATCAAGGGGAAACTGTTCTTCCTTGGTAGCTCGTAATATCGACATATAACCGTTGATGAATACTGTTTTATAAAAGAAAATGGAGCTAAAGTGTGTGGTATGCACTTAGAAGACAGATTTTAAAATTTATTTTTTACTTGCAACTTTTCCTGTGCCTTATCTAATAGACATACTTATTAGTTAAAAAATTTCTTTCAAATAAGGTGGTTTTTTTTGGTGGGGGCCGGGAGGTTATTTGTTTTGTTTTGATTTACAATTAAAGGTTCCACGTGCATGCCTGTTCATCTAGATAGGTGTCTTATCCTTTTCTTGGACAAAGTTTTTTCTCACTGGACTCTATTTGTAGTCTCAGAGAACATTCTGACTTTTTCCTTCCTGTGATTTAATGCTTTGTCCTTTAGATAACAGTGAAGCCAGAATGCTTCAACAATGTTCCAACTCACCATGAACACATTCCTTACTCTCTCCTAAAATAGACACTCTATGTTTAAGTCATTTTATTTAGAAAGTAAAACAAAAAGCATGCTAAGTTGGTATCAAATAGGAAAATGTCATCTAAAAGGTTTTTTACATTTAGTTTAGAATGTATTCAATAGTTTGATTTGAAGTCCAACATCCTGTAACAGTACAGCTTGAGTCTTTTTAAGACTCTGGAGACCACCATTATGGTATTTCAAATTTGGGGTTGGTGGTAGTAATACAATTAATAACTTTTTCTAAGTCTTGACCTAATATTTAGAGGACCTCTCAGATTTAAAATTCATCCCTTTTATTTGGATAGATTTTTTAAGTTTACCAAATTGCCAGTATCGGAGTCACAGGAAAAATAAAGGCTTGCAAAATATAAGAGCATTGTAATTTATAGAAGTATTATTTAGGCTCTATAAAAACGCATTTCCCAGGAAAATAAGAGGGACTCAGTTCTTGATATGTGAGTGGCAATGGCAATTTAGTCTCCTAATTAAGGAAGTAAGCTCTAAAATCTAAATACCTAGGTTCAAATTCCAATCTTGAATGAATTCCAATCTGCATAAATTCTTTACTTCATCAGAGCTAAGAGGAAGGGAATAGAGTATTTACTAGAAATATCTGAGTCGAGGGTTAAGGCAGTGAATCCCCAACTGATAGAGATGTTCAGTAACCATAAGTTTGAATGAGTTTCTGTGAACTTCTTGATCCTAGCATCATGTGAAAACCCATTCTAATCTAAAATAATCTGAAATCAAAAACAGTTATACACATCATTTTCCTATGAGATGACTATGAGAGAAATGTGCAAGATATACTATGTGTTATCAGAAAGGGATAATCTCCTGATTCTGAGTTTAAGAAATACTTCCTGGTGGTGGTTCTATTGCATTGCTAAGTAAAGGTCCAGGCACTGAGGCTGGAGGTGAGTTTATTCATTTGGGCTTAAATCTTCTCTTCAGTTTATTTTGTTTCCTAGTCACTTACTTCATCTAAGATTCAATTTCCTAACCAAAACGACAAAGGTAATCACACTACATTCAATCAATATATAATGCCATCTACTATTTATTATATAGAGAAGGTGAAGGATCACCATTAGTAAATGCAGAGGTGTGAGCAACACAGTAGAAAATAGGTGTATAAAAGCCTTGTATTTCTAGCTATATTTCCCCCATGAAGCAGGAATTAATTCTACATGCATTTATTTAATTGCTCCTATGTGCCAAGGACTTAGCTAATTGTTTCCAAAGGTGATCTCATTTGATAGCTCACATTCTTTCTAAGAGTTTCAGATTTTGATCTGCATTTTACAAATGAAATCACTTAGGCCCTAAGAAGTTAATAGCAAAGCCAAGGTGGTATGTATGGCGAATGGTATCACTGGAATTTTAAAGCTCATGCTTTTATTGTGGGAGCAGGTTTTCATTTGCAAGATTATATAAAATTCTCCACAGGGGGGACCCCCTGAGATAGTGAGATTATTTTCTCCTCCTTTGTATAACTGACTGAAATACTGTAATTTTATTTTTCATTTGTCATTCTAACCTTATTAGTTTCTACTTATATGTCAAAATTATTATATATGATTGATTTTGTTTTTGCTAATTTTTTTGAGGTTACACCTCAGGTGGTGCTAAGAAGCTACTCTTGGCTTACTGCTTAAGGGGTGGTCACTTCACTGTGTCTGGGACCAGGTGGTACCTGGGTATCAGACCCAGGTCTCTGGCTTGCAAAGCATTGTACTAGCCCTCTGTACTATCTCTCAGACCCCATATGTGATTTATTTTATAAGAAACCAGAGACAGTGATAGTGACATAGCACATCCCTTATGAATCTCTCTACTCTGTAAATTTATTAAGAAATATTAGAATAGTAAGCTTCTGTAGAGTAAAATAGGATTTTCAAATTTATTCTGTGAACATTGCATGTAGTTCATTCATACTTGTATTCTTTTAATCTTTATTGAAAACCTGGGGATAAACTTATAAATAAAACACAATCCTTTTTATCAAAAGATCATATGAGTTGAAAGGATGGATGGGTTTAGTGAACAGTTGTGAAGAGATATTGGTACATTACTGGTGGGTATTGTGTGATAATATACATTTTGAAGGAGTGTTAAATTGTATCCCTAAAAACTTATATAGTCTTGTAAGACAATGTCACTGCAATAGAAATCATTTTCTTATCAATAGTCAAATAGTCAATAAAATGACTCTTGAACTGGAGATTTTGTCCACATAACTGAGCTTACAGGGGAGAGAAGGGGATAGTGAGGAGAGTTATTAAATGGGAGGGACATTTGGGACCTTAGCGTAAGGAAGTGGATACTCTAGTAACAACAGGTGTGGTGTTGGAACCATGTATGCACTAAACTGTCATTAACAATATTGTAAATCATGATACATCAATAAAGATATCTTTAAATGAGATTTAAAGATTTGGATAAGTTAAAAGGTCATATTAGAGAAATTACAATCATTATATGGTACATGAAGTATGTGACGTACATCAGTGTTTATTTTCTTGACTATATAGCTTTCCTCTTGAATAATGTCTACTATTGGAATAAATGGACTGTTTTGCATAAAATTAAATGAAATAGAAATGACTCTTCAGGGAAAGCCTTATTATGTATTATTATTAAGTTTATCCTTTACAGAGAACCCAAAAAGTGATAACGTTGTGAAGAGAAACAGACAGTAGTGAAGTTGTAAAATTTAGTAGAGTAGTCAGAGAAGAGCACAAGAGTGTCTTGGAGGGAGATAGGGGAAAGAAGTAGTCTGGAAGATAAAGTAAATTCTTCACAGGCAAAGGGAAGAGTAAAGGCAAAAGTGCTGAGGGAGGAGAAAAATGGTTTAATCAGTTACAAAAATGTTCTCAGTTGACAGAAGGACTCAGTACATTAACCATTTGAAAATATTCATCTAGGTCTGTCATGAAGACACAGAGAAACTTTGAGGGAAGTGTAATAGGTCACTTGAAGTTCAGGGATAAAAACTTTTCTAATTTAGTTTTCTTGGCAAGGTAAGAAATACAGATCTCCACTGAAGTGCGTTTTTGTTTTGACTTGTTCAAAATGATCCATCTGAAAGTGATCTCAGTTCCTACTTTGACTATGTTCCTCAAAGACATAAGACACTTAGCTCATTGCAACTGGCGATCATTTTTTTGTTGAAATGGTCTTTGTCAGTGAGTGATGTCACATAGCAGGTATCTCACAAAAGATGAATTTTTCTTATTGCTTCTATGTGATTTGTGGTCTCTTTTATTCATGAGTTTCTGTCATGAACTTTTTTTCCCCATGTGATTGCCTCTTTTTAATTTCTACTTCTTAATTTTTTTCATAAACATGGTGCTACCATTCTATTAAAAGATGTATTTAGGCACCATGATTTACAAAGCTGTGAATAATATATTTTTTGAGGAGGTCACACCTGGCAATGCTCAGGGGTTACTCCTGGCTCATGCACTCAGGAATCACTCCTGGCAGTGCTCAGGGGACCATATGGGATGCTGGGAATAGAACCTGTGTCAGCCATGTTGGCTGCGTACAAGGCAAATGCTCTACCCACTGTGCTATCGCTCCAGCCCCCAGCTGTCAATAATATTTACAGGCATACACTATACCAATTCTAATCTTACCACTGATGTCAACATCTCTCTACCATTATTCGATTTTCCACCCATCCTCCCAGCCCATCTCCTCAAAAAGCACCTTTGTAAGTTTAATTATTGAAATTTGTGTCCTATGTTGCTGTAGCATTGGCTCTTGTGGTTTAGAAATCTCACCTTGCCTCACTGGTATGTCCAAGGACCCTGGCCCTTGTCACTGTGTGGTTTCCAGGCCACACTGTGTCATTTCATTCATTTCCTTCCCTTTTCTTTTTATTTCTATAATCTAGGTTTTATATAAGACTATTTTATTCTCTCTCTATGTATCTTTTATACCAACAACCATATTTGCATTACCCTTCTAATGAACCACTGTAATCCTTCTTATCTATTACATTAATCTCATGAAAATCAAACTAGTTATGGTTGTTGGTATGTTTAAAGCAAATCTCCAATTATAATCCAAATTTGAGTTAATTTATCTTCGTGTCTCTGATTTCTCATGTAATTCCTTTGCTGTATGAACAGTGATCATTCATATTTGATTATTTGATTTTTATTTTGGTTTGGTTTGGTTTTGGGGAAAGAAATGGAGACACTCAGACCATACTTCTGTCTTAGCGCTCAGGGATCACTCCTGTGAGTGCTTATTGAACTATATATACTGCAGGAGATCAAAATTGGTTGGACAATGTGCAAAGCAAGCACATTACCCACTATGCTCTCTCTCTG